CTAGACTTTCCCTAGCATCTTGGGTGAAGAAATTCTTTTGAGACTACCCCATTAATGGAAACATTATCTCAACGTCTGCCTTGTCAAGCCTTGTTTCAATAAGATCATCCTATATTGTATGAATTCTAATGAATAAAGTCCCACCTGTTTAGCCATTCTTGGTAAGTCAACCCCATCATTGCAGTAATCAGCCAAGTGAATCTGAACTGCCTCCAATACCATTACATCAATTATTAAATACAGGCACTATAGCTGTACACAGTATTCCATGTGTGCCCTCCCCAAAACCTTGGAACTTTCCTATTTGTCTTTTTCCAACCTGAATAAGACCCATTAATCCTGGTGACTTGCTCTTCTGTGTGATAATGAACCTTAATCCATGCTAATACATTACCCTTGATACTAAGAGTTTCTATTTAGTGCAGTAACCTTTTATTTGGCATCTTATTGAATGCCATCTGGAAATCCAAATGTACTACATCTGTTAGTTCCACTTTATCAACTCTGCTTTTACTTATCTTGACAAGTTTGTTAGAATTTTTTTAGAAATGTGGTTTCCCATATGATGTTTTGTCTCCTCCAAGAGGAGAGGGACTGCATATATTTAATTTGGTAATATAAGCAGGAGAAGCGAAAGTGTTGTTGAGAATGTATTAGTTTTTTACAACACACAAAAGTAGCACTGCCAGCAATAGATTTCAAGTGGTTATATTGTATTACATCGCAGAACTGAGAGAAGTGGCTGCATTCAGACCTCCCAAAAAGTGTGCAAGGTAAGATAGGTCTGTGTGTCTCTCACTCTTTTCTCTCTTCCCTCTCTCTTTTTCTGTCTTCTCCCCACTCCTTCCCAATCTGTTGTGGCTGAAAAAGACACATCGCTGAAACAATCTGAACTGAAGAACTTCTAATTCAAGAAAGAAACCTAGATCCAACTGACTGGCTACCAAATTGAGGATTGCTGTGGTTGACAACACTATATGATACCACCTCAAACGAAAAGAATTGTGCAGAAGTCACCAGACGTTTTCTTTTAAAAACTTCTTTCACAGGGTGTGGATGTCAGTGGGGGCGTTTGTGCCCATTCCAAATTGCCCTTGGACAGTGTGTCTTGCTAGATGTTCTGGGGACAATGAAACGTCCCCCACAGAAAGTGCTGGAGAAACTCAGCTGGTCTGGCAATATAGTTTAAGTTTTCATGTTGTAAATACTAATCAATTTTACTACTTGGTACAAGATATATTTGTTATACATCATGTTTGCTGGTAAATTTGTTCATCCTTATGCGATGGTCAAAGTTAAGATAATTATCTATCTTGGTGATGAAATTGTTTTTATATATATGACAGTCCATGGGATGGGTTGGGGGAGGAGGGCTTGGTTTCCAGTGTTCACTCTCCATCAGAGTTGTGATGAGCAGTATGGTCGCTTACAAGACAAATTAAATTTAAGATAATTGGCAGAGGAAAACCACAAGGGCAGGAGGAAAAAGTTACAAGTTTCCTTCTTTATGCTTGTTACTTGTTGGTTATCGAGGTTTTTATCAACAAATTCTGTTCTGCTTGGTTTCATTTAACATTGTAAAATCATTATCCAGCCAGTAGAGACAGCACATGCACCTGACTGTTCCTAGGATCTCAAAAGGATACCGATGACAAGTCTGAAACTCAAATCTCGAGTCCAGGAACAGTCTGTTGTGACTGCTGCAGTTCAGAGCGATAAATTAGTTATTAATGTTAATAAGTCTTGACATCAGAAACATGGAAACTGTTAATGCTCTGAAGAAGGGTGGCCCAATTGAATCAAACCAGTAAACAGTAATGGAGGAACCAGTTCTACCGCAACTATGTCATTTGAATTAACCTATTTGACCAGGAGATCAGGTGGAACTTTTTCTGCATTGAATAGAACTGAAGCTTTGAAGACCTGTGCACTGTCTGCAAAAAGCAAACCACGAGGACAGATTATTTGGTTAAATGATTGTACTTTGAACAGTTTGCACAATATATGTGTTTTAAAGTAGTTCTTAAAGTTTGTGATTTTGCTTTTCCTCTTGGTGCTTCTGCACTATATAGAGTATTGAGCAGTGTGAAACTCCATTAGACAAGGTATATTTGCACCTCCAGCTAATTCAAATTGCTGACTCCACAAACTGATGAAGGCTTGCATTTATAGAATGGTTTTCACAACCGCTGGGCAGCACAGTGGCTCACTGGATAGCACTGCTGTCTCTCAATCCCATGGGTGACTGTGTGGAGTAGTATAATCTCCCCGTGTCAGCTTGGGTTTCCTACTGGGTGCTCCGGTTTTCTCCCACAACCCAAAGATGGTTAGGTGGATTGGTCATGAGAATTACAGGGTGATAGGGTGCGGAGGGTGGATTGGGTGGGATGCTGTTCAGAGGGTTGGTGTGAACTTGATGGGCCAAATGGCCTGCTTCTGCAGTGTAGAGATTCTATGATTCTGACTACTACAACCTCCTCTTCACTGATGTAGAATTTTTGAAATGTAATAGTTGTAGTGAAATAGTCACAAAGAGCACTGGAGTTTAATAACGTCTACCTTAGGGGAGATGGATGGCATAGTGATATTATTGATAGAATATTAATCTGGAGACCAAGTTGAGGTTCTGGGGACCGGGGTTTCAATCCTGCTATAGTTGAATTTGAAAAATTTGAATTACAGATAAAAGTCTGGGAAGTCTAATGATGACTGTGAAGCTGTTGCCAATTAGTGAGAAAGCCCTTCTGGTTCACTAATGTCCTGTGTGATTGTAGGGAAGGAAATGTGCCATCCTTACCTGATCTGGCCTACATGTGACTCCAGACTCTCAGCAATGCGGTTGACTCTTACTTGCCCTTTGGATAATTAGGAATGAGCAACAAATGCTGGTCTAGCCAGTGATACCAGCATCCCAGAATTGAATAAAAAGAGAGTGGTTTTGAATGGTATTGGTTAATGGATAAATGTTGTCTACCAGGAAGGCTCCCATGTTCTTCGAATAGTACAATAGAAAAGGTTCATATTAGTAAAATTGGACAGTAACAAGTGATCATTTCCATGTTGAAGTATTGCTCAACTCGGTCAGCTAGACTGAACTGTCTCCAGGACTTTGTGAATGTCAGTGCCTTCCACCAACATAAGGGCAAAATATAGAAGCTTCCTAATGAGTACACAGTGTTGCATACCATTCCCAACTCCTCTGATACTGATGCAATCTAGAGCAAAACTGGATGATTTTCAGACTTGAGCTGATGTGTAGCATGAATATTACTGATCAGACAACTGCCAAGCAATGACTATCTCCAGGAGAGAATCTAACCACCTACAGTTAACATTCAACAGCTTTGCAGTCACTGACTCTCCCAATGTCTCCATCCTAAGGGTAGTCACCATTGACGAGAAACTTTACTGGACCAGATGCAAAAAAAAAATGGCTTCAAGATCAGGGCAGAGGCTGGGTGCTCTGGTCAACATCTGTCTAATATCTACATGATGCAAGTTAGAAGTGTGATGGAATATCCACTTATCCAGCTGAGTACAGCTCTAACAACACTACAACATTCAACCTTTTAAAGCATGCACAGTGTTCATATCTATCCTCTTGGAGGCAAGTATCTCATCAAATGAAGGTGTCACTTCATTGGTGGTTTTATGGTACGCTTGCACTCCATCCTCTGGTTGCTGCAGCTGGGCAAGTAGCAGTTGTTGGTGTTTTAAGAATACAATCAGAAGGGGAGGGTTAGAATGAGGGGCAGTGTCCCAACTGAAAGCAGGAGGTCATGCCATCAGCAGCTTGCAAAGTTGGAACATGGCATTGTTCTCAGCATTCTCTGCAATTCTGGGTGCAACTGGCTTGGTCACACTCCAGCCTGTTTATGTGCAGAACCGTCATTTCTTTGATACCTAACCATTAATTTACTCCAGTTGTGTGCTCCTTGTCTTGGTGAATGTGTTACGCTGCTTGGGTAATTTGCCTGCCACACTGAATAGCTGGAGGTTTGTAAATTGTGAGGGAGGTGGATCTGGGACTGATAGCATTGAAAGTGTTTGAGGCGAAATGTCTGAATCTTAAACTGGAATGCTGGGGTATGTTAACTGAGCGAGTGTGCGATGAATGAAGTAGTGAAAGATTGCTGGTGTGGTGTTAGGCGATGTCATCTAAATATCACTGACTTTGAGCACCTCCATTAAGTAACAGAACTCGTCATCCTACTGCCGCGTGCCCATGTTCGGACTCTGGGAAGTTACGTCCCTCCACCTATTGCCTCCCCTTTTGGAGGGGTCCATAAGGTCACCTGACAGAAACATCCCCTCTCCTGATTATGTCCATCACAAAGGCCTCAATTCGTCTTTCAAGAATCTCAAAGCACCCTGTCCTCCCTCATGCTCTGTTTGTTCGGTTTCTTCATATAGCTACTTGTGTTAAAGACAGTTACTGCCCAATGAACAAGCGCAGCTTTCCACGGAGAAGGCTCAGACTTTCTTGTTAGTGGTTCAGATTAGATGGTATATCTGCTAGTGCCTCTGTTGAGCATTCAGCCATCCATCAGCAAAGGGTTACCTTCAGCTGCACGTTAATATTGTGCAGATGAGTAAGTGGGACACAGGTTCTGTGCTGCCTACACCAATGGGACTGGATGCAAGAAGATTGTAAAACAATCCTATGACTGAAACATGGGTAAACCAGTTTCTATCCTGTAAATTCTTTTCATGTCAAATAAAAGCTTTGTTTAATGCAATTATTATTGTTTTGAAATTTCTTTTTATAAAGACCGCACAAAATGCTCAAAATTGATGCATCGAGAGAAAATCTGAAGTTTGCTTCTTAACTAACATTCTGTAGGAATGTAGTAAATATGCACTTAATGTGATTTATTCACTATTACACCTGTCATAATAGGTAGTAAGCTTCTTGATGCGTGACAGTAGAAACTTATTGTGCAAACAGTATTTATTGCTGAAAGGGTTTCATTTTTAAAAATTCATTTTTTGTTCTGCAGAGGCAGTCCGTCTCAGCGACAAAAATGCCATGGCCTGAGGAAATCTATCTCGAACAGTCTTTTGACAGTAAGGAGCCTGTTGAATCTGGAAATTGGCCAGTTGATGACGATGATTATGATAATTCTGGATCTGGCTCCGGTAAGCTGTTTGTAGCACTTTGCTTTGTGTTTCTCCTTTACCAAAAATGGCCAAGCTTTTAAGCAAGTTTATTTTTTGTATAAGTTGGCATCACAGTAAAAGACAACAGAGGTATCCCAATAATAGGTTGAAAATCATGTGGTAAAAGAGAGGTGAATTTAGAAGAATCGCTCTGAAGACGAATGGGGTTTTTATTTTAAAAAAAATTAACAGTGGGATATGAATGCCGCTGGCTTGGCCAGCATTAATTGCCGAGTGGGTCTGCAACATTGCTGTGGGTGTGGAGGGTCACACAGGCCAAAGATCCGTGGTGAGTTGATAAGATTGAACTGGCTTGGTCGTAGAAGTCAGATAATAGTGATAGAAGAACAAAAACAAAGTTGTTGGAAAAGCTCAGCAGGTCTGGCAGCATCTGTGAAGGAGAAAACAGAGCTAACGTTTCGGATCCGGTGACCCTTCCTCAGAACTGATGGTGGCTGGGAAAACGTCAGTTTATATGCAGAAAACAGGGAGGTGGGTGGGGTAGGGAGTAAACTATAGGATAGAGCCCAAAGAGAGAGAAAGACAGTTGGACAGACAAAGGAGTTGCTAATGATCAGGCTGGGAGGGTGAATAGTTGTTAATGGGGACTGTTAGCCTGCCACTACACACCCACTGTTGTTAGTCACTATGTGGTAACAAGGCCTGGTGTGTGGGATGGGGAGCTGGAACATGGGAGAGTTTAGGCCCTAAAATTATTGAACTCAATATTGAGTCCGGAGGGCTGTAGGGTTCCCAAGTGGAAAATGAGGTGTTGTTCCTCCAGCTTGTGTTGAGCTTCACTGGAACACTGCAGCAAGCCAGAGACAGATGTTGGCCAGGGAACAGGGTGGTGTGTTAAAGTGGTGAGCAACAAGTAGTTCAGGATCTTTTTTCCGAGCAGAACGTAGATGTTCTATGAAGTGGTTGCCAAGTCTACGCTTCGTTTCCCCAGTGTAGAGGAGACCACATTGTGAGCAGCAAATGCAGTAGACTAGATTCTGGGAAGTGCAGGTGAAGTGTTGCTTCACCTGGAAGATATGTTTGGGTCCTTGGATACTGGGGAGGGAGGAGATAAATGGGCAGGTGTTGCACCTTCGCCGGTTACAGGGGAAGGTGCTGTAGGGCTGCGGGGAGGTGTTGGGGCTGATGGAAGTGTGGACCAGGGTGTCCCGGAGGGAACGGTCCCTGCGGAAGGCGGATAAGGGAGGGAAGGGGAATATGTGTCTGGTGGTGGCATCTTGCTGGAGGTGGTGGAAGTGGCGTCTGATGATCTTCTGGATGTGGATGCTGGTGGGATGGTAGCTGAGGATGAGGGGAACCTTGTCGCTGTTGTGGGAGGGAAGGGAAGGGGTGAGGGCGGAAGTGCGGGAGATGGGTCGGACCTGGTTGAGGGCCCTGTCGACAACGGAGTTGGGGAATCCTTGGTTGAGGAAGAAGGTGGACATTTCGGAGGCACCCTTGTCGAAGTTGGCCTCATCTGAACATATGCGACAGAGACTGAGGAACTGAGAGAATGGGATGGAGGCTTTACAGGAAGTGGGGTGTGAGGATGTATTGTGGGAGTGCTGTGGAAGTCAGTGGGTTTGTAATGGATATTAGTGGCCAGTCTATCCTCAGAAATGGAAACAGAAATTTCAAGGAAGGGAAGGGAGGAATCCGAGGTAGACCAGGCGAAAGTGAGGGCAGGGTGGAAATTGGAGGCGAAATTGATCAAGTTTTCCAACTCCAGACAAGAGAGGGAAGCAGCACTGATGATATCATCGATGTATCGGAGAATAGTGATAGAAGGCTGTTTCTTTGACTGGAGATCTGGGACCAGTGGTATTCTGCTGGGATCAGTGTTGAGACCCCAGTTGTTTGTAATACATATAAATGATTTGGAGGAGAATGTAGGTGACCTGATTAAGGTTGCAGATGACACAAACATTGAAGGAGCTGAGGATAGTAAGAAAGATTGCCAGAGTTTATAGATGTAGATTGGCTGGAGACTTGAGCAGAGAAATGGCAGACTGAGTTTAATCTGGACAAATGCTAGGTGATGCATCTTGGAACACCTAATGCAGGATGGAAATATACAGTAAATGGCAGAACTCTTAAAAGCATTAGTGTACAGATCCACTGTTGTCCGAAACAGGCAACACAAGTGGATAAGGTGGTCAAGAAGGCATATGGCATACTTGCCTTCATTGGTCGGGGCATGAGTATAAAAATCGGCAAATCATTTTTTGGTTGTAAAGAACTTTAGTCAGGTCACATTTGGAAAATTGCGTACAGTTCTGGTCACCACACTACCAGAAGAATGTGGAGGCATTGGAGAGGCTACAGAAACTGTTTACCAATATGTTATCTGGTTTGAAGAGCATGAGCTATGAGGAGAGATTGGATAAACTTAGTTTGTTTTCACTTGAGTATTGGAGGTTGAGGGGCAACTTGATAGAAGTTTACAAATTTATGAGAGGTGTGGATAGTAGGATATTCTCTACCTCCGAGAACTGTGGAGGCTAGGTCATTTAATATGTCAAAGGCCAGGTTGTACAGATTTTTGACCTGAAAAGGGAGTCTAAGGTTATTGGAAGGTAGGCTGGAAATGGAGTTAAGGGACGAGCGCAGATGGCTGAGCAAACTTAAGGAGTCAAATGGCTACCTCCTGCTTGTTTTTACTGTGTTCTCAGGTCCAGGAGCAATTCAAGAAAACTGTGTTAGTCAGAAAACTCTCTCTTTCTGATGTTGAAATCCAACCTTCAGTAAATTATATATGATGGAAATGGACTTTTCTGATTTGCAATGTTAGCTTCTTATTTTTATAACTACTTTCAGTTTCAGCAAGTCACTGCAAAATTAAAACCTGTTTTCAATATTCTGATTTCATCAATTTTGCAGGGTTTTTTGTTTTCTGTGAAGAAATGTCAGTTTGTGGAAAGGCTTCAGTGGGAAATAATCCATAAACTACAGCTGAATTTGTCTGTGTGGTTTCTGAATGCAAACATTAAATTGTATGGCTCATAATCAACTGCATGTCAAGGTATCTTCTATTTCTGTTTCCTGTGTAGCAGCCAGCTATCAGGTGGGAAAGCCAGGTCAGGTAGAAGGCTACAATCTCAAACCATCTCAATCTGGAGGGACCGAGACAACAAGGTGCAGGGCTGGATGAACACAGCAGGCCAAGCAGCATCATAGGAGCAGAGAGGCTGACGTTTCGGGCCTAGACCCTTCATCAGAAAAGGGGGAGGGGAAGGGGGTTTTGAAATAAATAGGGAGAGAGTGGGAGGCGGATAGAAGAGGGATAGAGGAGAGGATAGGTGGAGAGGAAACAAACAGGTCGAAGAGGCGGGGATGGGGCCAGGAAAGGTGAGTGTAGGTAGGGAGTTAGGAAGGGGATAGGTCA